TGTGTGTGTGTGTGTGTGTGTGTGTGTGTATTTTGGGTTTTTTTGTGGGTTTTTTATCCAGAATAATCCGTCATGCTGAGGCCGCACCACAAGACGCCACTCACCAGTTGATATTTTATCTTTCCCTGCTCGGAGACGTAGAAGTTCAGTTGTTAGGTGGCCATGTAATTTTGGCAGAGACATCTTCGAGCCGGGCCCCAAGGGTGATAAGTCATATCCAGACGTCCCCCAGAAGCCTTTAGGCGCTGGGTTTTTTCTTTTCTTTTCTAATCTTTTTTCCCTCCTGTAGCAAACCTCGAAAATGTATAACGATGTCAACATCAGACGAGATTTTGGCAAATGGGTCGGATGGAAGCTTTCAGGGGGTCCGGGGGGGGGGGGGGGGGGGAACAAGAGGGAAAAAACCGACGCTGGCAGGGATCGAACTCGGAACCTCCGAGTTGAAAGACGAACGTTATACATGTACCTGTTGAGCTGATTCTGAGCTCCCGTGACATCCCTGATAAATCTTTTTTATACCGCCCCCGGCATGTTTTGGGGGCAATGAACACTCACGAAGGACGACCAATAGCACAATGATGATGGGTAGCCCGGGACAGAGGTAAAAAAAAAAATTGTAATGTAAAAGCAGGAATAAAATCATGTGCCAAAAATTAAGCATTCAACAATGTTTGTGGGATATTGTGGAAAGTTCCTCATCTGGAACAATGTTATGTTGATTTATACGCACGTTTATGTACCAAGTAATCTGACCTTTTCCTTGAATCCCCTAGGTGTGTTCTTTGCTGAGAGCGATGTCGGCGTTGGAACCATCGTGGGGTCTGCTGTCTTTAATATCCTCTTCATCATCGGAGTTTGCGGTGTATTCGCTGGAATGGTACGTGCAAAAAGATGTTTTGGTAGTTCAGTTTTTAGTAAACGTTTTACGGCACTTGCGAGACAATAAGGTTGTACAAGTACCGAAGATCAGAGGTGTTACTGAAAGTAACATACAAATAAAAGAAGACTTGATAAAAACTATAGATGTTTGATAGGAAAAAAGGAGCAAACCACACCAGAGCACTTGCCAACCACCCACTTTGGTCATTTTGAAGTGTACCAGGATACAGGGCTATTTCTATACAAGACAGCATTCTTTGTAGCTGTGGATTGCATGATTGGTAGAGGTGAAAGATGTGTTGATGTTCTTATTGGGAACAGTATTTGAGAGGGCATTACCTTTTCTACTGATCTGTATATTTATGTCTGTCTATCATTTAACTTATTCCAAGCAACTTGTTTTTGGTGCTGTTTGTGGTGGTTACGGTGGTGGGGTTGAGGGTGGGTGGGATTATGCTTATGAGAAGAAACATCACTGTGAAATCAATGCATAGCGGATGGAAGATGAAGGTGATGATGGGGTGGTGGTGGTGATGATGGAGGTGTGATTGTGGTGGTTATGATGGTGTGATGGAGATAATTGTGTTGGTGATGGTGACGGCTGTGGAAGAGATGGTGATGTTGAAAGTCGTGATGATTATGATGGTGGTACTGATGGTGATGATTGGGATGGTATTGGTAGTCATAGTGGTGGTAGTGATGGTAGTGGGGATAGTTCCACACTGTGAGTTTTGAGAATAAATAATGTTCCAACCAGGACGAGAAAAATAATTCGAATCACGTTAGGATTCGAACCTCCATCTCCATTGTAGCAGATCGAGTTCAAAACGTTCCGACTCCCCGACACTCAAAATACTCTTTATGGGGTTCAAAAGATTCTCTTTGAGCTAACCTTGAGATTATGTCTCATGTGAAAGCATTGAGACACATCGAAAGGTTAAAGGCAGCGTCTCTGTCTCCATGACCAGTCAAAGATCCAAACGACAGTCTTACGTCTACAAAATTGAATTCCTGTCTGTAACATAGACATTTATTGTGGTCAGTGACTCCCCTCAGGACTACTTCCCGAGTCTCGTGACCTCCTTTTGTCATCAGCGACAGCACAGCAAGCCTTCTCTGTCTCGGACACATACGGAAAGAAAGATACTTAATTACCTCGTTATGGTGGGGAATTTCCCCTGAGAACAGCGGTCTGCTTAAATGAAATTCGAGACAAGCCTATGAAGAACTTTCTGTACAAACTATGTTTAGGGGATAACGAGAACCGTGGTCGCGGCTATATTGCCTTGAGGTCGGGGTATACATTGACTGAGTGGGTGTTGGTCGCTGAAATACAAAGCTGGGGTTATTGGAAGCGACGGCGTGGGTGAACTGGGTTTTCAGCTCAGTCTCGTGATGACGATGGTCGAGGGATTTAACCACTAATCATAGGCAAGTTAAAGTGCTTTTTCATAATCGTGACGCACTCCAACGAAAGTTTTTTAAATTTTACAATACCTATTTTGGCCAGCTAGTTAATGCAAATTTACCACCGTGGTCTTCCGAGAGATATTCAACATTTATTTCTATTCTGTATAAAACACTCAGTAGCTTTCTTCTTCCCTGCCAAGGGCCAGTACCCATTTTCAACTGAATGGGCTGTCATGATTATGGTAAAGTAGGGACCCTGACCCTGTCCTTTTATTTTAGTGAGTGCGACATATTAAAATGATTGACAAACAGTTTAACACAGAACGTGCGTTCTGGATCAGTTTCGAAAACAGCTTTCTTTTTTTTTTAATTTCTGGGCTCCCGCTTCCCAGTGGGGAAATATCAGGACAATGCCGATTAATTTCGTTTATTGGAATCTTTATAGTCCAGTAGACAAAAATAGATTATTTATTAGGCAGACCTCACGCGTTGAGGTTTTCAGGGTTTAGTTTGAGGTTTATTTGTGATATTTTTGTCTTTGATCAGTTGTATTTTGTTGCTGTTTTGTTTTTTGCAGGTTGGGGGGAGTTGAGGGAGGGGGGGTGTTG